TGATAGTGAAGCCATTATCAGCATTTCATCCCTCAACCCAAACAGAGCTGATAGACTTTACTGGGGACTTGAAAAAAAAGGCCAATTCACTGTGTCAAGTGCTTATAAACAGCTTTCAAACATCAAGCTTGCTCAGTTAGACATTCCTGAAAGCAGCTCATGCTCTTCTATAAGCAAATCTGTTCAATTCAGACTCTGGAAGATTAAAGTGACTGGGAAGCTCAAGCACTTCCTTTGGACTTGTTTAACAGGTACTTTACCTGTTACCAGCTTGCTTAGGAAAAGGAAAGTTAACATTGATCACATCTGCTCTCTTTGTGGAGAATTTACTGAAACAACTGAATATGTTTTGTTGAATTGCTCTAGAGCTTTGAGAGTTTGGGAATTATCATTTGTGTCTTGGGATGGAATAGCTGGTTTCAAAGACTCTTTCAAAGCTTGAGGTTTAAAGTTTGTTCCCTTGATAATTCCGAAGTTGTCGAAGCAAGGATCCTACTCTCCACGTACATCCTTTGGTGGCTTTGGAAGTCAAGGAATTTGTGGGTCTTTCAAAACTCCAAGATGCCAGCAGCAACAGTTATAAAGGTGGCTCATGAAGATTGGCTTCACTACTTGTCTGCTTTTGGTCTACTGGTTTGATTAGTATAGGTTTTTATTTGTTCTTCTTTCTATTTTGCGTTCAGGTTCCTCTCTAGGCTTTTAGCAGTAGGGGGAAGTTGTGCTTTTGGTTAGTTTTTCTGGTTGGTTTGTTATTCCTCATGTTGAGGTTATAGACCACCGTAGGGTGTGTCTCCCATGTTTCTAATGCGGTTGTTATTTGTATGTTGAACTTTGTATTAGGACTTTGTCCTCTTTGAGTTTTATGATATTACCTTTCTCGTTTTGGGAAAAAAAAAATTATTACAAATGAGAAATGTGATAGATTATGTAAAGTATAATTTATAAATTACAATGACATGTTATGTTGATGGTTTATTTCTTCCATTAACTAAATAATGCCCCATGAAATTATTTTGAATCTATCACTGCAATTAGCTTTCCAATGAAACTTCTATTGAATTTTTGCACAATACCGATGACAATTTTTTCAACGATTGAAATATGGTCCAAAAAATATTCCAATAAAAATACAGGTATTGAAATCTTTAAATCCACTAAAGTTCATGTAATTTAATTTGAACTCTGTTGGAATAGCCAATGAAATTTCTCAATGAAAGCAATATATTCGTTGGAATTTACAGTAGAATACTTATTGTTAAGTTTTTCATTGCAATATAGCAATTTTTTGTAGTCCTCTCAAACATTAATTTTTTATGTAGTATTTATTGATTAATTGTGTTTATAATTTTACTATTATAAATATATTAAACGCGTGAACTTTTTAGTTCCTATATTTTTTTTTTCAGAAATCACTCATTATTTTATGTCAATATTACCTATTAATCTACCAATTGAGTTACATTTCTTACATATACAATATTAAATAATTAAAATATTTCTTGTTTTATATGTTCAATATGATATTTATATATTATTTTAAAAAAACTAATATAGTAGCTCGGTATGAGACTCGCCATTCCACGGTGGGAAAGGCGTTCATACGCGCTTGCAGCCCTTCGGTGCGGTTATTAGTAAGGCTAATCCCCAGCCGAGCGAAATTACACTTCAAGGCAGGTTCTGAACGCCTGGTATCGGTTTCTTATTAACAAGAAGGTAGCCTCGGAAACTACGAGGCTCCTCCGATCATGTATTCGCATCACTCCTTATGTGGATCGTGATATGGGCGTGTCGCCCTCCACGACCCCCATCATTATTGATTAGTGCCCCACCGGCCCTGCCATTCGCGGCGGACTCACTTTTCGGTCACTCCAGTATGTCGAAAGCCCCAAAAGACGCTCTCAACTAGCAGACAACTAACCGCAATTTCTGAACTTGTAGTCTAGGGCTTTGCTTGGCATTGGGCTTTATCCTCCGGGGCAAGCGATCAATCAAGTCAAGAGAGCTGCTAGCTTCGGTCTCACGTAGTAGGCTCGAGGCCCCTTTTTCTGTCTTTCTTGCTTGATTCGTCTTTCATCTCTGTGTCTTCAAGATGTTAAACCTATGCAAGATTGAAAGCAGAACTGAAACACCGCTTCCGGGCCTGGGGAAGCTGAAAGATTATGCCCCGACGAACGAAGGTAATACCATACCAGGAAAGTAGCTAAGAATGACTGCGCGTTTTTTCATGCCATAAATAAACTCGAATACTCAAGAAATCCGTTGGGCAGGCAGATTCACATCATGCATAGCATTTCTCCAGCAAGAATGATTGAAGTAAAGGCTTCAGCAAAAAATTAAGGTTCATGAGATGGCTTCTCCTTCGGTGGATAGATCAGATCGTGTGGACAACCTTTTCAAATAAAAGACAATCTCAGAAGATATCGCCATGCTCATGCTACTCCCATGCCTGCTTCCTTCACGGTAATGGTCCATGACCCCTCGTGTATGATTCATCGTAAAAAGGCATTGCGTGCGTTCTCCAGTAATCAATATTGGGGTCGGAATTCCAGCCTTTTTTAATAAAGATTTTTTTTTCTAACCTACGTGGATAAATGTACAAATAACTATTGTCTATCACCTCAAATTTACATATAAAATTATTAAGGACAAAAAACAAACAAGCGTTTAACAATTCAGCTCGATTACATCGATAAGTATATTTTTAGAAGATTTATATTTTGTTCTATTAATTATAATATTTTTATTTATTACTTTGTTTCATAATTAGTACGTGTCACAGTTTAGTTATTTTTCATATTATTTATTACATTTATTTTTTTTTGTAACTTTATCTTGTTCGTTCTTAACTGTAGATTTGTCAAAAAAGGCATAATATAAAGTATTGAATTTTTTCGGTCATCTGTCTCATTATATATCAATTATTTTTATATCCTATATTATATAATATTTAATTACAAATTTTTAATTAATATTTTAATTAATATTTATAATTCTTAAATTCGTTAATAATATAGTCGAGTCAGCTTTTGTTCATAATTTTTTTTAAATATATTATTGTCAATAATTTGCTTATGTTGAATTGAGAAAAGTTATTTTTTTAATTATAACTGTATTGATGGGTTAAACATGCATTACAGATGAGAAAGATGAAAAAATATGAAAAATATAATTTATAAATTATAATGACATTATGTTATTTTATTGATATACTTTTTCTATTAACTAAATAATGCCTCAAGTATGAAATTATTTTGTATCCACCACTGCAGGTACATATCGAATAGAACTTCCATTAAAATTTTTACAACTCCAGTGACATTTTTCCCAACTGTTGAAATATGAGCCGAAAATAATTCAAACGAAAATTCACACAATTATAAAACAAGATAATTGGAGTTATTAAATCCACCGAAATTTCAATATAATGTAATTTGATCTCTGTTGGAATAGTCAACGAAATTTTACAATGACAGTTATACAAATAAAATATCATTTAGAAATTTCAGTTAATGTCTTACCGTTGGATTTTTTATTGTAATGTACCATTTTTTTATTCCTTTATATGATATAATTTTTATGTAGGAGGTTTTGTTATTAATTAATTGAATTTATAATTTTTCTATTATAAAAATATTAAACTCGTGAACCTTTTTATCCATATAATGTTTGTAGAAATCGCTCATTATTTTATCGCAAGATTACCTATTAATTTATCAATTGGGTTACATTTATTGCACTTACATGTTAAATAATGAAAAGTATTATTGTATATATATAATATGGTATTTATATATTATATTAAAAAAATAATAGCAAATAAAACGTTATTTAAAATCAAAATAATTAATGTTTTTTAAGAAAAATAATTTACTAACCTACATGGATAAAAGTATAAATAACTATTGTCTATCATCTAAAATTTATATGCATAACTAATAAATTAACATGTGGTGAACAATTTGACTCGTTTACATCGATAAGTACTAATACAAGTCTCGCACCCGGACCGGCTGGAAATTGCCCTAAGCTTGCCTTCCTCG